ATTAGGGGTTGTTTTTCTTAGGAGTTAAAGACTGAGTCTGATGTTAGATGTTAGGAAACCCTTTTTTTTTATATATAACTAGAGACTTGTTTAAATATCTAATTTTTAAACACAACCCACATTAATAGAAATAACGTCGGGAGTTTAAACATTCAAAATCCTCGCTTGCTTGTATAAGGAGGTCACAATTAATTTTGACCATTAGATGTGAAATTGGGTGGTTGCATTTATTTCATTGACAAAACTCAAAGTTTAAAAGAAATTTTTTTGAATTTATTGATACATCCACATATTGTATGGTTATAAGTAATTGTTTCTTTCTTGTATCAAAGATAAATTGTCACATTGTATGCAACCCCATTAGATAATTGGATGTCGAAAACTAATTTTACACTAAAAAAAGTTGGCAAATGGGTTATTTTACGTGCCAAAAATTACCAATTGATCTTCTTTTCGGTCCTAGGTTCTTTGAGCTGGCCAATTACAACCATCATGTGAAAAACCCCAATATAAGGCATTGGTCATCTAAACTAGGGATGAATTGGATAAAAAATGTAAAAATTATTTACTTTTAATTCAAAAAGGTCATAATTACTCGTGTCTTTTAAATTTCAAATTGGATTGATGTAAGTAAATAATTGACTACCCCTGAAGTTCAAAAAAAAAGAAAACAAAATCTCTGACTTTGGGTCACATTCCAAGCGATACCATTTGGCATCTAACGGCTACCAACAATTGTCCTGTAATAATGACAAATGTTTCACGAGTGGATCCTGAAAGAAAAAGTATACAATATGGTCCGACGGGAGCATTGATAGGGATACTTCTTTCTTACTCTTCTTTTACGTTCGCCTCTCTCGATCTAACACCTGAGTCAAACACGCTCTCTCTTAAATATGGCTTGTCAAAGAGCGGAGGACACAATTTCCCCCTGCTTCTCTCTCTTTTTTGGTATGCCAAAGTGGAAAACCTGGTTTTCCTTGCTTTTAAGACTGGAAGCTTCTCTGAAACCTGACGGGTCTTATTATTGTGTATTGCAGTTGATCAATGGAGGAATTTGATTGAAACTCATCTGCGTGCTCTTTGGGTTTTTGTACGGGATCGACTCTGATCAATAGATTTGGTCAGAATCATCGTTGCTTGGTGTTTGAGGAAAAACGGAACGGTCTCTTGGTCTTCTAAACACCCTCTGATTGCAAAATTAGGGTTTTCATTTTTGGGGCATTGAGTAGAAAGGATCATGGGCTGTCGAATTTTCTAGTTTTTAGATTCCTTGGATATGAAATTGGGCTTTTTTAGGCAATAGAGAAGGCAACTTTTGTATGTTGTTAAGGCTTTCCAGTATTTAGAGCCCTTGGGGTTCAGGGATTGGGTTTTCCTTTTTGGGCAAGAAAACATTATTGGGTTCTTGAAATTTTTTAGCTCTGAGAGTTCTGGGCTGGAATACTGATTCTCTTTCTTTTGTTTGGGTCACAGGGGAATAAAAGATTAGTTATCGAGAAGTTATACAAGATTTTCGTTTATTTTTGGGTTTGTGAATAACATGGATAGCGGTGGTTGGATGCCTGGTCAAGGCCAGGGTGATCCAGTTCTAACAGATGCTAACGATTGGAGAACAGAACTTACAGCCGAAAATAGGCAGAAGATTGTGAATAAGATGTGAGCTCTCTCTCTCTCTCTCTCTGTCTATATATATATATATATATATACTTTCATTGCCATTGGAGCCTCCTTTTTGATTCATTAGATATGGTTCCTTCTTTCATATGTTTTGTTGCATGCGATTGTACAATTTGACAGTATGAGTTGGACAAAATTAATGAGATTTATTTCTTGGGGCAGTTGTTGATTCATTAGATATGGTTCCTTCTTTCATATGTTTTGTTGGATGCAACTGTACAATTTGACTTTTTATTTCTTGGGGTGATTGTTTTCATTATTTATTTCTGCAGTCTTCTGCATTCCTAATTTGATATTACCTGTCTTTGTGTGCTGTTTTAATTTAAATATATATCTTCATTTGGTATAGGTTCAGTAAAACCGTGAATCCTTTGAATTCCAAGGATATTAGAGAAACATAAGGATATTAAAGAAAAAATACAACTTATCCTTGTTGAGATGGAAGTTGTTATTATCTTAATTTTTCAGTAAAAACGAGTATTTATAAATGATCATGGGCATCTCTTTATTTTTTTTGTCTTCCCCTAAAATTTTGCCTACATGTTAATTGGCTATATTCAATTATCTACATTTGAAATTTCTTTCTGCATTGGTTACGTACACTTGGCCTTGGAATTGAGAGTAGGATTGAGCAATAGCAGAGGGAGTTTTGGCTAGTTAGTACTAATGTGAGGTCTTCATCAGATATTGGAGGATTTTCCTTAAATATTAAATGGTTTGATCCATAAAACCACAAGCGCTACTGCTCTGGTTGACGGCCTTTACTGTTTTTCATTTGCAGAATGGAGACTCTTAAGAGGCACTTGCCTGCAGGTGGCCCCGATGGACTGTCTGAACTCAGGAAAATTGCTGCAAGATTTGAAGAGAAGATCTTTACTAGTGCTGAGCACCAGGTTCTCCTTTCTCTCCTTGTCAATCTATTATTATGTTTTCAGTTGTGGATTCTAGGTACAAGAAATTATTTTTTATCAGCACTTTTAAGCATTTGAAATTAAATACCTTCTTTTTTATTTTCCAATTTTGAGTTCTTAATAATATTAATAGTTATAAATAATTATAAGTATGATGGTAGCATAATAATTTGTTATTTACATGCCATATTATGATTTAATTATACTTTTTTTAGGTTTTTTTGTATGGATTTTAGAAATTTTAAATTGTTTGTGATCCATTCTCATAACTCTAATACTTTGACATAATCTTATGGGATGCAAAATAATTTTATTTTTAAATCAGCTACCATTGTAAAAGTATACTAATGATTTCTTTTATCTTATGAATATGGTTGTTATTTTTCTCTCTCCTTATATTTATACGTGCAATGCACCTGAATCTACTAGTATGTTTTAATGTTAGAGCTGTTTCAGTGTGTTGATGTTTTGCAATTCAAATAAATACTAGTTTTTGTTCATTTGGTAGTTCAGAAAACTGGAATGGGCTTTCTGTGGTTCCTCCTGATTTTGCAAGTTGTTAACTGGGGAGAAATTCTATACGTCATAGACTTGCCAGCCTTAAAACCTTTCCCCAGCAACTTGACATGGAAAACTGTGTAACTAAGCAAAGAAAAGAAAAGAAAAATTACTCTTGTATAGGTTTGGGTGGCATATGCTGTGAGTGAATCAAAGAATTGGAGTGTAGTTCTACTAATATGATGTTGGAGATGAACTTGGTGAGCAGGTTGAGAAAACAAATATCACTGAATGAGCTTGGTGAGCTGGTTGAGAGAACAAATATCGTCAGTGAATGGACTAAGTTACTTGAACTACTTGTGAACTTTGACAGACCCATCATTTTCTTTTATACAATTGATATCCAACTTTATTGTTTGGCATGAACTAATGAATAATTTTACTAACCCATCCAACCTTTTTAGTTGTTTAGGAAGAATCTGGCTTACACGCTCTGCTTAACTATTGATTGGGTTCAAAACCCTTTCCATCCATATAAACTTTTAGCTCTTATTAGGGAGAATTAGTAGACTGAAAGATCATTGAAACAAGTGATTATCTTAAGCGGGCCGTGGAAATAGATTGAGTAGAGATAAGAGTAGAAGGTATTATGGTTATTGGTTGTTAAGTCGATGTTTGGTTGAGACTCGAGTGTTAATTTTGAAACTAGAAATCTGTGTATTATGGTAAAGCTATTCCTGACATAATTATTAAATATTTATGCTTGTGATACTCTACCTAATCATGTATATTGTGATTAATTGGATGCTTTATACTCATAAATGTTAGTCCCTTATGAGAATCTCAATATTCACATTTCTCACCTCTGAATTATTACTTTCCAGGCGGATTATTTGAGGAAAATTTCTCTAAAGATGCTCACTATGGAGACAAAATCTACCATGGGGAATTCTATGGCATCAAACTCTACTGGTGGAAACCAAAATATGCAAGATCAAGGTGAATTTTTGTCAAATATAGAAAATTGCGTACTTATGTGCAAAAAATACTGTTGCTATATATATATATATACACACATACATACATGTGTATATGTATATGTATGTATGCACGTATATAGATATGTATGTGTATTTGTGTATGTATATATGTATACGTATGTATGTATATACACATGTATATGTGTATATATGTATGCATATGTAAATATATGGGAAAAGATCCTGTCAGCCCATGGACTGATTGAATAGTGTAAGCCTAACATCCAGATTGAATATGGGCCGTTCTAACGGTTGCAAATGTATCTTGTATTTGAATTTTAATATTTTTTTATACAAAATCAAATCTTATGAAATTTGGGGTGTCCACTCTTTTCTTCAAGGCGCACCTAATAAAAATATTTAAAAAATAATTTGAAAAATTAAATTGACCAAAATACCCCTGAAATTTATAAGGGTATTTTGCTCAATTCAAGTTTTGTGAATTAATGCTTTGATATTTTTATTAGATTCACCTATATTTTAAGAGTAGATGCTACAAATTTCAAGTGATTTGGATTTATAATAAAAATATCAAAATAATGCAATTGTGACTATTAGATATGCCCAGATTCAATTTGAGCCATTGGGCATTTACTATAACTCTCAGCTAGCGGGCTGACCTTAGACTCACCCTATATATATATATATATATGCTTGTGTGTGTGTGTGCACACGTGCATGTGGGCCTGTCTATCTATCTATATATATGTGTGTGTGTGTGCGTGTGCGTGTGCGTGTGTATGTGTATTTCTATGTATGTATGTATATATATATATATGTACATATGCATGTATGTATTTATGTCTGTGTGTGTGTGCGTGCATATATATATATATATA